TTTCCACAAAAATAAACTAACGGTTAAGAAGAAAATCTTTCTTTGGAGAGCAGTTGTTCCAGAGCAAGTAAATACCCAACATGTTACTTTCAAAAAGTCAAAGGGAATTTTGCCTGATGAAACACTGGAAAACCTGACCAGATCTTGGCTTGGTGGACAGCTGCTGTTCTATGTCTACCATACTGTAAAGATTGTGTTTCCTTTGATTTCCCTTCAGATTAATACCAGAACCCCAGGTGATGTGTAGTTGTGCTGCTCATGTGATTTGAGGTGTTTTAGATTGGTACATTAGCAGAAAAATCATTCTGGAGTCAATACTCCCTGATACCTTAGGCTTACCAAGCTTAGACATGACTAGTGGTTCAGTGGTGACTACCTCCTAGCAATTAAAAGGTCATTATTGAAATTGTGGGCAGGAAGTTATTTGAAAATGTTATAAGCAGGTCAGTGAGGTGACTACTTGTCAAAAGAATACTTGCCACTCTTTGCCAGGTGCCTCACCCATTGTTTCCAACACTGAAACCCTTAGAATGCATCCAAACGACACAAATACTTTCCTTTCCCATGCACTGTAACCCATTATTTTTATAGCTAAAGGATGAGTTTATGGCTTTTCTTGGGGTTTTTTTTTAGGAGGAGGAGGCACAATTTTCACATCAGCAAGTAAAGAAAATAATACAGCATTCAGCTGTTTTTAAATTGTGCCCCAGAATAGTCAGGAAATCACAGTGAGCTCCTTTGGTGAGAGCCAGTATTCCCAAGAACACTAGCCTGGGCACCTGAACATCCCTGACAGATTTCTCCAGATACTGCTCTTGGCCAGCAGAGAGAAGGAACCATTGAGATACTTCCAACCCAGAAAGAGTAAACAGCACAGAGACAATGCTGACTCCACCTAAGTCATGTTCTTGGGCTTTGGATAATGCAAGGCCAGAGCAGTTGAGGAGCAGGCAGAGAAAAGTTCGTGTGAAACTATCAAATCACTGATGAAATAAGGATTGATTATGGGTGGGATTCTGGTGGTCTGCAAAGTCAAAAGCTGTGAGCAAAATAGCTTGCAAAGACCTTCTAAAAACAACTGGCCAGCAACATTCTCCAATAAACAAAATAGCTGCTGCATCCCCAAGTAACATGTTTGTCCATCCTGTATCACATTTTGTTATCCATAATTTAGGGGGGGAAAAAAAGTCATGATCTCCAGATTTACCACTGTATTCCAAATAACTATGTACACAGTCTATCAGAGAATTCAGTTAGACTTAATCTCTGTTAATTAAGCTTTCAGTTTTCCAAGCTCTATTGTAATACATTTGGATCACGAAAACAAAATCTTTATCATCATTAAGGGGATTCAACAAGATAAAATATTAACAAAGATGTATCTATCATCTTTGTAGTATAAATCCTGTCCATCAAGTGATGATATAAATTAACAGCAAATCTCCAATTGTTGTGAAATATCTATTTACTACAGCAAAACAGTGTATCTGAATTACTAACTTGAAGGAAAGTTGTATTCATCTTTTTCTAAGACTATTTAAAATAATGATTTTTTAAGATCCATTTACCTACTTATTCCCAAAATATCCTCTATATCTTGATTTTCAAGTTCCATGCTCTCAGTGGAAAATAAAATCCTGCTAAAACTTGCTAGAGAAATAAAATATAAGCCAAACATTCTATGTATTACTACCTTGTAAGTTTTCATTATTGCTTTGTGGTGATCATCTCCACTACACACATCACAGAAAATTGCCTGTTGAACTAGTTAGGCTGTTATGCTGACCTATGGAACTTAAAATATACACACAGACCCGTTTTGTTACATGGAATAAAACCTGTTTGTCAACTATTAAATCTGTGTACAACAAAAAGACACCTCCCATAAAGAATCATAGAATGATTTGAGTTGGAAGGGACCTTAAGCATCATTGAGTTCCAACCCCCCTGCATTGGTAGGGACACCTCCCACTAGACCAGGTTGCTCAGAGCCCCATCCAACCTGGCCTTGAACATTCCAAGGATGGAGCTCCTACAGCTTCTCTGGGCAACCTGTTCCAGTGTCTCACCACCCTCACACTAAAGAATTTCCTCCTGATCTCTAACCTAAATGTCTCTTCTTTCAGTTTAAAACCATGAGCCCTTGTCCTCTCACTACAAGCTTGGAGAGAGTCCTACCCGAGCTTTCCTGCAGCCCCTTCAGGTACTGGAAGGCCACTATAAGCTCCCCCTGGAGCCTTCTCTTCTTCAGGTTGAACAACCTCAACTCCCTCAGCCTGTCCTCCTAAGAGAGGTGCTCCAGCCCTCAGATCATTTTCATGGCCCTTCTCAAGATGTGTTCCAACAGGTCTACATCCTTCTTGTGTTGGGGGCTCCAGGTGAGGTCTCACCAGGGCAGAATAGAGGGGCAGAATCACCTCTCTCAATCTGCTGGCCACACTTCTTTTGATACAGCCCAGATATGAACTCTAGTACCAACAACTAACAAAACTTTTTATTCAGGTCTGATTAATGTCCTATGTGTTCTGAGGTCTCAATCTTTTAATTTTGCCCTTTTTGGTATGCTGGCAAGCTAAAAGCCACTATGTCTTTAACTGCAACATTTCCTATTTTCTGCATAAGGGAAGAGTTTTTGGTTTTTCCTGTCCAAAACTATATGGGTTAGGTAACAAATACACATTTAAGAGTTGTTCCTATAGGTCTTAACCATGCTGAAACATAATGTTTCTTACTGTTCTCTTTCCATTGTGTATTTTCATAGATGCATGGAAAGTTGGAAAAAAAAAAAAATACAACAACCACAACTGGATGTCACCAGAACAGAACCATGGTAATTACCTAAAGCTTAGTAGGAGCAATAACTTTAGAAAAGACTTCCCAGTGTGTCAAGAGCCTGCACTCATTTCAGTTCACATGCAAATTGAGTGATGTAAGCAGCTACTGCAACGTGAAAAATATCAAGCTGAAAATTCTGCTGTTAGATTGCTCATAATGTAACCAGAGTCCTCTTCAGTAATGCCCAAATCTTTGCTCTCTGCTTTTCATCAAGTGTTAAAAAGTATTTTCTCCACTGCTGCTTTATTAATGTCTGTCATCACAGACAGAAGGGTTTGAAAGCACTATCCTTATCAAGGTCCAAGTAGCAACTTCAGAAACTAGACAAAGAATCAGTGCCTCTGCTTTAAATTATACACGAGTCCAGAACAGAGGGATAACTGCAATAATCCACCTGACACTCAGAATTTAGCTGCAGTCATTAGCAACACTAGACATGTGTTTCAACTCTTAAATAGGACAACACAGAATGAAACTCCTCAGTTCCTTCACAGAATTAAAAAGCTTTGAGACTAGCACCCAATCCTTCAACTACAGATATTTTTTAAGAATGTCTATTAATTTGGAGTGCTAGAGATAACCTCAGTGCCAAGGAGGACATCAACAGCACATTTTGTTCGATCAAGATAACTCCTGTACAGCACATCTCCCTACGAGCCTCTGTCTCTGCCAGTCAAGATAGAGGAGTTAAGCAGCTAAATTCAGGAGAGGCAACATCTAAAAATCACGTGCCTTGCACTGTATAATCACCACTGCCTGTCTCGTCTGACCTTGGATTTTGCTGAGTGCATGCATGTGTTCCTACATGTGACAGTGTTCCCCTCTCGATGGCTCTCATCAATGTTCTCTTCCTCAAATCAACCAAAAAAAAAAAACCACAAACCCATTAACAAGGCAAACTGATTCTGTTAAACACGACTTCAGAGTGCTACAGTGGCCTGGAAAAACAGAGGAAATAAAAAGTAACAACAGAAGGAATGATAGAGTGACAGAAGGAAAATGGGAAGTTGAAAGGAAGGATCCTTGTGTCATGTTAAACACTATTCATAGATTGAGACAATGGAAAATGAAAGCAGGAATACAGAAAAAGAGACCAATAAGAAAGCAGAGTTGACAAAAAAGTATGGAGACAGAATAAGGAGGTAGCATAGTCCTCCCCTTAGCTATCCTTGTCCAGAGTTCTCTGCTGTTGCACTGGCAAAAAGCCATCATTGGAATTTGGTCATAATAAAGCCACTGCTTTCTCCTTCATACACCTTCTCAACAAAAAGGCAGGAAACTGGGCTAAAAGTTGTATATCATGTATATGATTAATAAAATTAAATACCAAGAGCATTATTAATTTTTTTTCCTAAAATGAATGCTGCAGAATGACTGGTATTAGTTGTGACTATAAATGGGAACAACCAAAGAGCATTCCGTTGCTGGTATTAAAACAGAAAGTTAAACTAGCTGTACAACTCCTTCAAGCCCTAAAAAAATAATGAAAAAAGGATACAAAGTTACAGATAGGAGACTATTTGACTGCAACACACACTTTAAAACATCAAAACGTCATTGGAATTGTATTATGGGCCATAACACAAGGTACTTTTTTTTTAAATAAGCAAACGTCTGCCACTGTAATAGCTAATGAAAGGTACAGCTTTTTTTTCCTCCTACAACAGGAGGGGGGGGGGAAGAATGAAAACAAACTAAGAATATACTGTATTTACATCAGGAAGAAAACAAACACATCACCATATGAAAGTGCAAGTTAATTGCTTAATAGCTTAACTGCTGAATCTCGAAAAAGAAAACATACTGCAGAAGTAAACATGTAGGTTTAATTTTTATGAAACTCCAAATTGCACCTAGTAAACTACTGAGGGAAAATATGTTGCAAGCTTTTTAACTTCTGTGTTGTGTCTATACCAAATTGTGTTTGGTCTTTCCGTTTAAGTTAACTTAAGTCCTTTTCCAGACCAGGATACATAAAACACTGCATTCCTCCTATAACAAAAAACAACCAACAAAAGGTAGCAAATTGCAAACTATGAAGAAAGGCTTTCACTTACATGTCAGATTTTACATCTCCCATTTCAGCACATTGTTAAAATGGACCAGTGAGTGCTCAGTATCTTTTATGTTGCTACTGCTACAGAAGAGAAACAATTTCCTCTTACCTGTGCTCTAACTCTCGGATGGACAGTATCACTCCAGAAGTTGATGCTTTCTGTTGCAGGGTGGCCAGAAATGTGAACTCACTTTTATTCCGGAAGAGCTGAATTAACTTCTCACTCACATGGGGTGCTGCATGGATTTCTCTTTCTACATCTGAGAATTTTATTTTTTAAAGAAAAAAAAAAAAAATTAAAAAGGGAAATAACAATCCAGTAAAAATGCTAAGTCAGAAAGATTCAGATTACATTTTTCATTTTCCCATCAGCATTTTTCATTTTTGAGAGTCATCTACCATGCTCCACCTGTTCAATGGAAAAATCCAAATGCCATCTCTATCAGCATGCCCACTTGTCACTTTGACAAGTTCACAACTGGTCAGCTGCTGATTTTCTGACAGAATTTTGAAAGGGATGCCGAGCCATTTGTGTCTGCTGTGAGCAGATTAAGTTACTGTAAATAAGGTGTGCTGCAGTCAGATAAATAGGCTCCTAAATCCTGAGGAATCTCAGGCACTGCCTCTCTCAACACAACTCACCAAGCTCCAATTTCAGTTTTTGCCCCTGACTCTAGTACCACCTCTCCATCATACATCAGAGGAAACCTGTCCTTGCTCTGTGTAAGGCAGGGATGTATTTTTGCTACCAATGCTATGTGGTTGTGGTCCTGCCTGAGCAATAAATCCAAGGCACACTTGCAATGCGCTAGCGTTTCAGGGATTTCTCAGTCTAAACAAGAAAAACGTGACAGCTCATACAATATTTATTAAATGACAGCCTGACCAGGCAGATCCAGAAACATTTCAGTCTCACTAATCCTGCTGATGCCCAAGGAGCAGCATGCCTTCTCATATTTGATTTTCCAAGAGTCAAATGCGCCATCTCCCAGCACATCCACTTTTAGCTAATCCTTTCATTCACAATATATCATCACCCTGAATGATGATGAATGACAAAAGGGAGAAACTATGGCATTTCACCTTCTCACCCCTTGCCATGTCTCTCATGCTGGGCCTTTGTCACACGTTTGCAAGACCAGTGCCAGTTGTGGTCCCCCTGGATGTCACAACCAATTAGAAGCCCAGTGTGCTTCCTTTCACAAGGTTTACTTTGAAGCCAGAAATGCTGGCACAAATTCTCAGCTGGTAGAGAACCATATAACACTATGGAATCCTGAGAATCCTGCCCAGCATGCATGCTGTAGAACACAAAGGAGTGATGAGATGTACGATTCAGAATTTCACTGCAGGGAAAAAAAAAAAACCACCAACACATTGTGTCATTAAACGAGTCTTTGCAGACAGAAAGAGGACAGACTGGGTTGAAAAACAACCTGAAACTCAGAAATGCAACTACTGAGTGAATGCCATGGACTGAAACTAAACTCCAAAGTAAAAGTGTTCAAGCATGTTTTGCAACTGAGCATCTCCATTTTTTCCCTGTGCAGCTTAAAGCCCTCCAAATGAGCCTACATACTCAGAATGCCTAACACACTTGCACTCCAAAAAGCTCCCCTCTGAAATATACTATAAATTAGACATCAAAAATCACTAGTCATCACTTAAGAAAACCTTTACCAGAGGCTTAAATTCACCTGATAAATAAATATAATGCCCATTTTACAAAACTGAACTATTTGTCTGTCCAACATTACTTCTATCATAGCAGAGGATAAAGCTTCAAAGTACAGAAATCATTTCAACTACCATCAGAAAAGGGAATGGAGGAATAAACAATCCAGCACAGACAACCAGATTTTATCTTTACCTACAAGATTTCATTATCTTATTATCTTCACCCAGAAGGTGCCATTTCTGGTCATAAATACTATAGTTTCTTTCAAAAAGAAACTAATGCTAGAGACACAAAACTACGTGCCCCATATACCAGGAAGTTCCCTGATACCCAGTTTGCTATCTACACAGACAATCCACTGGTATCAAGTTCCAAGGCACAGGTAAGACCCAGAGATAAAATGTCCAGGAGCTGACAGCTGAAGACAATTATCTTTGTTTTGAAGGTTAAGAACCTTAGCATCCTACAATTTTTATTTGTATTTTTTCTTAAAGGTGTCACCATTGCCGGAGATAAAATATGACTTAGCAAAGCTTCCAAAAATTCTTCCCCGTGAAGGCACAGGCACTGCTGTCAGTGGAACATACATGTTAAAACTTCAGTCAAGCCTTGTGAAATCCAACCTTTTCTCATCATGGGGGTACACAGATAAAAAGCCACATGCTGCCATGTATCCACCAAAATTGACACAAAAATATAAGATTCTTTAGTTGGAATCCAGAATGAATAATCAATGACTGACTAATCCCCTTAAAAAAAAGAATCTGGAATACTGTGTTGCATTCTACCACCTCTTCATAGTCACAAACACAGCAAAAACTCACACACCACCTTACAGTCATTCTCACTTGATTAAAATCAATATATGTAATAGATAACAAAATTATTACATTCCAGAATCTTGGGCTCAAACTACTAGATAACAAACAGTATTTATGCACTGCTTATCAATACATGTACAATTTTCACTAAAGAAGTTTATCTGGCTTGACTTCTCAACATTAACAGACATCTAAGTGTGGTGCAATTTCTTTGGAGTGGGTCTACTCATTACCGGGCTGAGGAGATACCAGTGCCTAGGAACACTCTCTACCACTAGACAACAAAAAGTGTACATGCAGATGGAGAAATGCTTGCAAAAACACTGTTCTTCAGAACCTCAGTAACTACAAGGGAGTTTCCCAGGAATTCGGTGGGAAGACGGCAAATGCAACCTGATTCCTGGCAAGTGGACTCGAGGTGAGGAGCCCACCAAGGCTTACATGGATCCAGAGGACACACAGCCTGGCAGTAGGGAGATGATAAGCCTATCGTGGTGCTGAGAGCAGCCCTGGGCTCCCACTGCTGGGAAGGAGCCACATGAGGACTAAGTGAGAGAGCATGGCCCAGCTGACACTGCATCTCCCCACCTCCTGTGCCGCATGGGACCAGCCCTCTGCACCTCTCTGGCACGTCCCCCTCCTCACACCATGCCTCTCATCTCTTTGTGTTTTGTTCCATTTCTGCAGAAACTACCATAAAATGAACTGGGACTATGATTCATTCAGAATAAGAGCTTTCTATTTTCAGGTTGATTTTCACCCTTAAAAGAAAAAAAAAAAAAAAAAAAGAAAAGAAAAAGAATTGAGAACACATACACCCCCACACCACAGGTGCCTAAGAGGGAAAATACTTTTTATGGTCCCTATAAAAATACCTGTCTGCTAGTAATGAAATGTTGTAATTCCTACATAATACAGACCAATAGAGGTTTATACAGTAATCTTCAGTGAAACATCACTTCATGCTTGAATGATAATGCAATCTCAGCAAAATAAATAAATATATAAATAAATGAAACTACTCTAGATATGACTTTCATATGCCTTTCTATGTGATTATACTTTCTTAATTTGAAATACTGACTGTCTGGAAAGGTTTTTTAAACATAAGAGAGTGTTTCTAAAATAAAACAAGCAAAAAAAAACCCGTAAGCATACAGAGTTGCTTTCAAGTAAAACAGATACAATCTCAGAGGATCAAGTAAAGGCAACTTTCTACCTTCAGCAAAACAAAGCAGAAGACACACCCATGTCAAAGAGAGAGTATATTTGTAGTTTCCTTTTAATTTTTTTATTATTTTTTTTTCAGCCACAGGTCCAAGGAAGAACTGTGAAACACAAAGCAATAGTGGAGTTTGCCAGGATGGCCAAAACCATTGAGCACTTGCCACTCCCTGCCAAGAACCATCTCCCCTATTCCCAGGAACACCTCCTTCTGTTCTCCTGGCTTCTTTGTCCAGCATGAGCCCACTAAGTTCCTAAGCAGCACAGCTCTTCCAAGCCAGAAGGAGCTACCAGAGGAACTGGCATCCAGGCTCATCTTTATGCAGGAGCTCAGCAACAATGGAACAACCCTGGCCATGATCTGCATAAGATCACAGCACCCTTCTTAGTTACACCAAGCTCTTGTGTGCTCAGCCACCTTGGTGAATCTTACCTGCAACTGCAATTACTCATGATACTCACTTTTAACACCTTCAAAATAAAGTCTCAAATTTTTATTTTAGAATTATTTCGGTTTCATTTCACAAGTTCAGCCCAGATGAAAGGTAATGCTACACACTAGGACCAAAGATGTCAGGGCAAGATTTACCTGGTACATATGAAATGTACAGGTATTTTGGTACACTTACCCTATGTGACAAATAAAATTAAGAAAGTACAATAACTCAGGATCAATCCTTACAAGCCTGATTTAGGCCCTTAACTCATATATTCTTGTGTGGATCCCCTGCTCTCTGCATCTCCAGCTCTGGCTATGAAAAATTAAAACCTCAGGCTTTTGCCACATGTAGCCCAGATCACATTAAATGAGGAGGTTGGTTTCACCTCCATTAGAAACAATGTAAGAAAATCACCACCACGCAGAGGCACACAAAATCACCTAGAGAAAGAAAAGACAAAGACAAGACTAGTGCTAGGAAAGCAGGCAAAGTTCTTGCAAAACTTATTTTGATGACAGTAGCAAAAATCCATGGTACAAAGGGAAGTTTGTGACCATTTGGACTGGAATTTCAAGCAATGAAAACCATGCACCAGTCCTTACAAGCTGCATCCAAATTCACCAGGGAAATAATTTTTTTTTAATAAATGCTTCCATTAGAGATAAATACTAACATTCAGTTCTAAATCAACTCATGTTTTCTGAAGCCACAACTATGTTTCATCATTCCCTAGCCTGCTTGAATACCTTTTACTTCCTTACTTTGATAAGGAACATACTGCAAAGCACGTTTACTTATTAGCACTTTCTATCATTTTAAAGCTGTTTGTTTCAACGTGGTTTCAGGAGAACCTTTGTACATTGGCTTTGGACAAGAAAGTAGAACTTAACCCTGCAAAAACAGAGAATCTGGATTGCAGCAACAGCAATTAAAGAACAAAATATTGCAGCATATTAGCTTTCACCTTGCTACGGGCAGAATCCAATAAAACTGAAATTTCTATTAAAAACAAACAAAATTCGAAACCTCAAAACACAGAAAAACCCACTGTGCCTCTTTTTAAGTCATCAGCTTTCCAAAAATGGAACCAAAAGTAG